TGATAATCCTAATGGGAAAAGGATTTAGTTAAAAGATAAATATTATTTATTTTATATGATAATCCTAATGGGAAAAGGAGTTAGTTTTTGTATGTATATAAATAGACACATAAGACTCTAGGGTTAGGAGTTTTTCCACGTTAGAAAAATAAGAGAATTAGAGAAAGAAGAAGAAGGGCTAACGAAGAGGAGGCCGGATCAAAGAACGTAAGAGGAGACCGGATTTGGAAAAGAAAAGGCGAGTTCCTCTCTACTTCTCCTCTTAGAACTCATAAACTTATCACCTTGATTATCGAAATTATAATTTTATTTTATTAAATAAATTATTATTCAGATTGGAGGAGCATATTTATTCTTTACAAAATTATAGAATTAAACATGTGAATATATGTATGCATTGTTCTGATAATTTAGATCTTGTAGGTGAGGTTAGGTTAATTAAATTTTATTTTTCGAAAATTTTTATATTTTGCGTTAACCTTGTGTAGCACGATTAATTAAATTAAATGGATTTTAATCTAATTGTATATGTTCATTTATGCCCAAAATAATAAATAGAGCTTTTGGGATTTTTCTGAGATTTTCTGAACAATTTCTGAAATTAATTTATATTTTTAATGTTAATTTAGAAATTGTTATATATATATATATATATATATATATATATATATGTGTGTGTGTTAAATTGTTTAACAAACACATTGGAGGCGGCTAGTATTTGCGCATCAATAGGATTTTTATCCAGTGTGGTCGCGTACGTAGGAAAAGGGTGCACTCGTTGATCTAGGCCATTAGATTAATTTAATTTAGTTGGATTGATCTGGTGTGATGCGGTCCATTGTAAGTTGATACACATGCGGCGTCAATGGTTAGATGTAGTTGATTAAGGGAGAGGATCCAGTGCATCGCGGCTTACCAAGAGCACCAAACAACAACCAATTAGGAGCTGCCAACACGCGCCGAGAGTGGCTCAGGCGCGTGAGGGCGCGTGCAGGCGCGTGGACGCGCCTGCCGGTAAGGGGAAGCGCGTGGAGGCGCGTGGGAGTAGTCTAGGGGTATGTGGCGGCGCGTGAAGGCGTGTGGGGATGCGTGTGAGGTCCTGGAAAGTTGCTTGAGACTTCGGTGAAGTTCCAGTATTTATCTTAAGCTTGTTAGGGTTAAAATTAATCATTAGAGGGTGTGTTCTTGATATTTTGAGAGCCTCAGAGTGTTACTAAGATACCTAGTAGCATTTAGTGGTATAAATATAATTAATTAAATATTTTTTGCAATGAAAGGAGGTGTATATATGTGTATATATATATGTAGATATGATTTTAAATAGTCAACGATTGGTATGGAATGTATGATACACACATATATATATATTATAAAATATATGTGTATATATATATTATTTAAGATTATTAAATATTATAAATCTTGTTTGGTATGACTTGATTCGTGTATGGTATGGTTGATTTAAAACCGTAATAGATACACGGTTATTAAATTAAGGACATGCTTATTATATGCATGTGAAGTCTATGTATAATTATACCTAGAGTTAAGTTTAAAGTTAATACATGGTTGAATTGTAGGCATGGATGAGTTGCCAAAGGCTTTGATATACTGCCTTATTGGTTATGAATAAATTTCATATATGGGAAGCATGGTTGAATTGCTAATTAATTGTAACAGTAAATATATTGAAGGAAGCATGGTTGAATTGCTAGTATATAAATAAATATATTTATAAATGGTATGGTTGATTTGCCGGTGCATATTTAAATTGCTATATGTGTAGATGACTAAATTACTGTTTAGGATGGAGTTAAGGTGAGTGGGGTTTACTTTATGAGAAAATTATAAAAGGGGGGGCTTGGTCTAGGTATGACTAATAATTAATTATTGGTGAGTGGTTTTGACAATTTAATGCCCTATTAACTGGTAGGATTCTTGCACTATATATATAAGTATTTATATATATTTGTAGCATCGTATATTAAAGTTAAAGCTTAATTAGGGATGGTTTTGGTAAAGATGATCTGTTTATTGGTTTTCAGAGGCTTGGTAGAGAGAACTTGCTCGTAGGGTTTAACCCGCGATTTATTTTTCAGGTTGTAGAAGGTCAAGTCTCAAGGTTGAGGATCCGCAGCTGGAAGACTTATCCATTCCTTCTATTTACTTAAAAGTAGGATATTAGTTTTGTTTCAGTTGATATTAGTACTTAATTGGTTGAAATTCTAAATAGTAACTTTTGGTTAAGGGGTCCTTGAGTTGCGGGATTCCCGAGTTGTAACCATTTGGAAGTTATTAATGGATTTACTATTAATTGGATTTCTTCAGCGTTTTATTTTATTCTTTATTTCATTTTGTAATCCGTGCTTGTTTAAATACTTTAATTGGTTTGATATCCCCTGATTTTGTGCGCGGACTTGATCAACCCGTGTTCCGAAATTAGGGGGTATCACAGTCAACCATGCCACATTGCTTAGGGCTTGTTGGCGCATACACGTGCACGCACGTAAGCATGGTGGATACACCACGTGTGCACCCAAGCATGCCCACGTGCGCGTGCTACCCGTCCTTGGTGTTGTCGACGCGTCATCGAGCGTCTCCTTCTCGAGCCACCACTTTCGGGTGGTGCGTATCATGCCTAAGCTCCCAATGTGTGTTACATGCAAGGCATGCCGTGGCCTTGCTGAGGGGCATGGGTGCTAAGGAATGCTTCCCTACATTTGAATAAGGGAAAACCACAGCTCTGACATGAATAAACATTGCATACGTCTAAAGGGTCATAATGGGCAAAATTTACTCTCTTGACCTCCAAATCCAAATCCGTCTTCACCAATAGACTTATTAGGCTTCAAGAAAGTTTTCCTAACTTTTCCAAACCCAAACTCCAAACTCCAAACTTCATTTTTCAGCATATTTACGAAAATTCCCTTGTGCACGCTGACAGTACCCCATGGCTGTCAGGGCGCTTGTCAAAGTTTCAAACCCCGTAATACTAGGTATGTATATATGTATGCATATATAGATCAAATTCTTACGAGCAAAATTTGCAGGATATAATATGGAATTTTGAAATTTCTAAACATATGAGATTGCAAGAGTATTAATTCAGTATACAGGAATTGAAGAGAAAATCAAAGACAATGAAATTAGACTCGTGGATGAGGTTATTGCGAGGAGTATCTCTTATCTAAAGCGTATTATAATGATTATTAACAAATTAGTCAATGGTACGTTTAATTTCAAACATAATTACATTCTAAGTTCCTATAAGTAATGTTTTCTGCCATATCTAAAGGGAGTCTCTCTTTCTTCTAGTATACTATTTTCTTTCCCTCTGTGTATTTATATATGTTTTTTTTGTATTTACGGACAACGCGATGACAATTTTGCCCATCTCACCAGTTTTCCACCCCTAATGATATGGGTATGAAAACCCTTTTTGTTCTCTAGAGACAGGTACGAGAAAAGTAAATAAAACTGATCGATAAAAAATCACCCTAAACAGGGCCTTCTTAGGCTAACTAGTATTTGAGCCACAAAATGGAAGAAAATCTTTTACGTGATATCATTTACTTCATCAACTGAATTTTGTTCAACAAAGCTTTCAATGAAATTGAATTATATACATCATTTGATAGTATAAAATTCGCATCTTAATAATTAAAATTTAAACTATTATTGTTTTCTTCTAATTCTAAAATGTGAATTCCACTCACATGGAGAATTTATGTGGTTCTCCTTTTTGTAACAGAAAACCCTAAAATACTCTATAATATTATTGTCAGCGAACACCTTTCTAGCCCAGTGATTGGGTACTTGGGTTACTCCATGCTTGCCCTACGAGTCTCGCATCAAATTTTTGCACATCTAAATTTTAATCTAATATTTTTGTCATGAAAAAAAAAATAAAAATAAAAATAAAAAGGAGTGCGAGTAATATTGTAAGGTGATGTGGTGAATTGAATTGAATTATTGGAAAAAGATATTTTGAACTAGTTTTAAAACAATGGATATAGAAATTCTGACTTATATAGCATTGTTCATGTGGAGCTCACTCGTTCAATGGCTATAGCTCAGCATTAATTGGGTTAGCCCATCAGGGTCCAATTCAGTCACGCTAAAGACAATCTATGGTCATAATAGGCCGGTAGACATGGGGCCCATCTCTTGTATGTATGAAAGATCTAGTGCGTGGCCCATCACAGTTCTTGCAGAAGCTCCACAAGCCCAATCAAACTCAATTGACATTTTGATACAGAAGGAAAACCACATGCATGTGTTAGTATTCAAATATTACATATATTTAACTTCTTTGTTATATTTTGGGGTTGCTCTTTAATGGGCTCCCAATTTTTTTATTTTTTTATTTTTTTAGTTTTTTTTGGTCTTTATTTTGTTATCCATACAGCCTATACAGTGCTCAGTGGTCCACAATTAAAAAAAAAAAAAAGAATGTGTAAATCCGGCGGAGGCACCCACGGGTCACTTTTCTGCCGGGCGGGTGGACATGGTCACTTTTCTCTCAACGGGACAACGATGGGATTTGAAAAATTAACCTATCCCAAGTATGAGACTCCCAATAAGTAAAGAGGGTGGGAACGGGTTTAGGCAAACCTTTTTCGTACCTATCTCGTTGCCATCCCTAACAACCAGAAATAACTTGATTACCTTGTCTATTATATAAAATTATTGACAAATATAAGTGGTATTTTAGAATTGTGTTGGACCGTTAATTGCACACAGAGAGATCATATGATTTAAAGAAAGTGCCTAACATATCCAAATTAGTTATTTTCAATTTTTTATATTATTTTCATTAATTTATATTATGAGTTAATATTCCCATTGATATATTATTCATTTTATTAAAAATATTGTGAATTAATAGAGATGTATTATTAATTGTTTTGACTCTTATGTATAAATAAAATTTGATATATTGTTCTTAGATAGTATCTTAGGAAATACAGAGTATATGAAAATTCCATAATAGAGGCAGCAAACAATAATTTTATATACTCCGATGTACATGATTCCTGACTTCTACAATATTGATGAAAGATAGTAGAGAGAGAAAGAAGAAGGGTTGAAGAGAGAGGAGGAGAAATTCGCCAGGGATAATGGAGAAGACCCGGTAAGCAATTCATCATGAATCGGAAGGAGCCAGCTGAATCGGGGAGTTGGGATGCGGTGGTGCACCCTGGCGACGGAGAGTCCATGTAGACTGTAGAGAGAGAAGTTGTGAAAGATTTTTAAAAACAAAAGTACAATTACAATTTTTATTATTAAATGCATTTTTTGTTTTAGCTTTCAAATTTTTAAACATATTAGACATATGCTATTACTAAATGGCATTTTACTTTCTCATTTCTTTCTCTCTTCTTCGGAAAGAGGTAGAGGGGTGTAAATGTATTTCTTGTTTGTCAAAACTTCTTGGAGTAATGCATTAATTTTGAGAAGGCCATATTTGGAAAATATGAACCGTTAGGGGCAGTTACTCCCCGCCAAAACCGCCCCTTGCGTATACATACTTCCCATATACAACATTACTCGACACTTCCACCACCATTAACTATCGCGCACGCCAAACAGTTCCCAAAATGAGAACTTTCACTTTATCAATCATCTTCTCTTACTTTCTCTTTCATCTCACTCCTTACTATTTCGTATTGGGCATCCAAATCCTCTCCAAGTCAAAGCTTGAAAAGTGCGAAAAGGTTTCCGAATCCAGTACCCTCAATTGCACAACCAAGATCCTCGTTGACATAGCCGTCCCAAGTGAATCAGTAAGTTATTTCCTTTCTCTCACTAAGCGTATTCAGATATATAGGGCAATATATATGTGTCTGTAAATATACATATACAGAATTACGATTTGACATGCCATTGTTGGTTCAGAGTGGGAGAGAGGCTTCGATAGTGGCGGAAATAGTGGAGGTGGAAGAGAATTCAACTACCAATATGCGAACCCTAAGAATTCCGCCGGTGATAACCATTAACAAATCCGCTGTCTATGCACTTTATGAGTTGACATATATACGAGTATGTCCTCAAATTATGTTGATAATTTACTTTATACTACTCATTAATAGTGCATTTGGGTGTTTTTTATAATTTTTGTAATTGGGTTAAAATTCTCGTTATATTTCGTTTTGTAATTTCTTTTATTTTTATTTTTTTGCCCCTTATTTCCAATGTTGTTTCTTAAATTCTTGCACATTGAAAACTTGTTTTCATCTGCATCTGTTTTTAATTGAAAATTTGTAAGAGCGTGGTTAAGTATGTGCATCCAAATGGGAACTTGTTGGTGTGTTTTCTGCATTAATTTCATAGTTTACTGTACATTCTCGTGGTGTTTGATTTCTTTTGTTATTTTCGTGGTCATCAAGGAGTAAGGAAATTTGTACTGAAATGATTAGAAGTAATTAAGCAAAATTTGAAGTAATGATTTTCATTGCTTTAAGAAATATTATTTATGCCATTTCGTGGTACTGATTTAGACAAATATATATGTTTGTATGGACATGATAATGTTTGACTGCATTTAAAATTTTCTGTTGCTTTGGAAATTTTTTTTTTTTTTCTTTCAAGTCTCTGATTTTCACTCCTTTTAATGTTAGTTGACCAGTTTCATTTGTTATTTTTTCTAGGATGTTTCTTATAAACCCGAGGAGTATTATGTTAAGACACGCAAATGTGAGCCAGATGCTGGTGCAGATGTTGTGCACATATGCGAGAGGCAAGTAACTCTTGTTCTTTTCTTTGTACCTTCAACCTCCTTATCATATGTAAATTTTGAATTCGAGATCACTTTACTTGATAAGTGTTAATTATTGTCTTTGTTTTTAATGTAATTGTGGCATTTTAAGGTTTGGATTTGTGCTTACAGTTTGCATGCATTTTTTGAAGAGTTCAACATGATATTTACGATGATAATTGAGATCACTTTATTCTTGTTATGTTCAATTTGTGATATGCGGTTCCTGCCTTCAATGTGTATATGAAAAATTAAATATTTGAAATTTACCATCTTCCATCTCATATTGTTCTACTTACTTTCTCTGTTGCTTCATCACATATTGTTGTTACAAATCACCAAATATCACAAGGTTTATTTGATCTGCAAAGAACATATATACATTTAATTAATTGTAGAACTTATTGCCATACTTTAAGCACTATTAGTAATCCTTAATAATATGAAGTTGTCACATGATCGATAGTATTACATTTGTGAATAATGAAGTCATCAAATTGTCAATTTTATTTTGGCCAAAAAAAAAATGAAAAAGGAAAAAAAGAAAAAGAATTACTACTCATAAATAAAATAAACTTTTCATGGGATCAAGCTCCGGAAGCAACACTTGGATGGGACTATGTGAAGTCTATATAATTCCCAAAAAAATGAAGAAAAAGAAAAAAAGAAAAGAAAAGAAGGAATATGTTAGAGGTAGTGTCTTCATTTAAGCCATTAATCAGTTGAGACTTGAGAGGTTTAACAGTTTAAAACCTTTTTTGGGAACAGACTCCCAACATGTTCGATTGACCCAAACCACATTTGATTGATTGAACCCAGTCCAGTGAGCTTCGATTAATACTTCAATCAAATCTAATTCTCCTGCACTTAAATTACTTAGGTTTTATATATCAAAAACACTTTTATGCATTCAAAACATAATTTTAAAGATGAAAATATGTATTTATTAATCTTAACATGATTAATGATGAGAATGCATCATGAAACCTAATTTGGTGAGTGCACAATTTGAGAGTTGAATTTACCTTTATATCCTTTTCGAACTTTTGAAATCTCCTAATCGCCCTTGGATAGTGGTAACTCAACTAACTCTGCTGATCCCTAAATCAGTGTTTTGGTTGCCCTCCCATAGTGTGAGGAAATGAATGAAAAGGATGAGGGAGGCATTCTAGCAAACCAATGCATGATTCTGTTAGCAAGTTCAATTCAATACAAGCTAATTGCAGCTAGTGACATTCCAAATATCATATGATATATGAAATTAATTACTGAAGCTGATGATTTATTTCTTTTTTATTCCATTACCAATCAACCTACAAGAGAAACAAATTTTACCCACAATTTTAAGATTCTTTGAATGTTAATCCCAACAATTATCTGTGAAACTAGAATATTCTCTGATTATTTTAAACTCGGAAATAGAGATCTGTTGTCTCTGTATTTCTGTGGATTTGACTGAATGGGTTCTTGAGTCTTTCAGGTTGCGAGATGAAAATGGTCACATTATGGAGCACACAGAGGTAAGATTTTAAAGGTTGATATATATATACACACACACATATTTGATAATCAAAAGTTGATATTGGTTTCCTCTAGTTGTAGTTATTCAATTATTTTCATCAACAGTGTACTTATGAATAGCTTATCCTATCACTTATGTATATTATGATATTAATCAACTTTTCATTTTTGTCTCCTATTTGGTCTCTAACATGCGAATTACTGGAAGTGATTGAAAATTTATTCTTGTGAAATTTTGAAATGAATTGACATAATGGTTTTATTAAGAAATTTGAACCAGATTTGTAACTCTAAACTTACTCCCAGTGCCACTTGCAGGCAGTAAAGTCCTTTTAGAATATACTATTTCATTAAGGGAACGCTATCTTCATCTGTTTAGTCTGTATACTTGGCAATGAGAGAGAAGTTCTGATGGATAACTGATTCAAGATAGTGGAATGTAGTTTACTACATGCTGCCCTTTGGTATTAAATTATTTATACAAAACTGAAATAAGGTACTAGGATAGACAAGATGTCCCTCCAGTACCAAAAAACATGAATGACTAAAACTACGCCTATACTTTCCTAAATATCAAGGGATGAAAGCAGTAACAGAAGAATCTTCCACCACAGTGATCCTTCAATTCTAGAATTATTGCCTCTTTCACCTTCTATTAATCGAGCATTTTCCACGTTATAGCATTGCAATGACCAACTAGCCTAAAATAAGAAAAAATGACATTTTCAACCTAATATTAAAAAAAACAACCAGCATCGAATTGACCTGAATTCCCTAGAGGGCCCTGGATTCCCTAGAGGGCTTTTTATTGAAATTTAACTTCAAAATGCTTTGAAAATGGGTTCTCCAATACACAACAGAACCTCCTTCAGGATTCCAATAAGTTTCCACCATCCAGTTATTATGAATAAAAAGGCATACAATTTAGTTTTGAAGTCACCAGTCTAAAGAGAAGCTGGAACCATAATCTTGTCCGACACGACCTTGGGGGAACTGAATTTACTTTTGAAAATTTTATTTCTGTTGACTAGATTTAGTACTCAGCGATCTTAATGCAATGGTCTGTCCCCAGTTTTTCTTTTGCCTACACGGGATATACACTACGTAATGCCCTTATAGTAACAGTCATAACAGTACTTGAATTATTTTATTTTATTTTTTGAAACTCTGATTTTTAATATACATGTATTACCTCTGTGCTCGATTATGTTTCTTTTATTATTAAATGCTGCCTGTCTTTAAACAATTATCTGTGTCCTCATATGGTCCTCTTTCTGTTTTTTCTGCATAGCCAACCTGTTGTCCTTGCGGGAACAGGCGCAGGATGCCTTCGTCATGTGGAAACTTCTGTAAGTGCGAAATTTAGTTGTTTTTATTATTTTTAAATTTGTTGATGCAGGATGCGGTTTTTAGATCTTGGCAATTGTCTTTAAATCTTGTTTGAACTAGTTGACAAGGTGACGAAAGGGAAGGCCAACACCGCACACTGTCTTCGATTTCCAGGTGACTGGTAAGGGCCTGCATTTGTCCCTTGAGTAATAAAATTTTAATAAATGAAACTGTTGGTTTCATAAAAATAAAAACTCAACAAAACACTGGAAATATAAAGTTTTCTGCTTCTTTTCCTCTTCTATTACCATATTCAAGTAAAAAGCGAAAAAATAAAAATCTGTTACCATATGGTTGTTTTTGAAGCCCAATCAACAAGGAAGAGTTGATTATGATTTAATACCTCCACAAATAAGACCAAAACCCGAAGATCTTCCTCCTCAATTTTTTTTTTTTTTTTTTTCATAATTAATCTTCCTCCCCATTTCTCTTTGGCCGTACACAATAGAGAAAATGGTCTCTCAGAAACAATTAAGATAATTTGTAGATTGAGGGAATAACCTCCCCCTTTTAAAGAGCACTGATACAGTTATGAGACACGGATACGACGCTACACGGAACGGTGATACGACTAATCGTAAAATATTGACATGAACACAATGGAGACACAACAAATACTAATAAATATACATTTATATATATGGGTATATATATTAGAATACTAAAATTATTTTTCATCAACCTAAGAATTTAAAATCCTCAAATCACTATAACTAATGAGAGAATGAGTTGAAGTAGAATTGCTATATTCAAGTTGTATAAATAAAAAAAGAAAAAAAAAAAAATAGGGCTTCTTTGTTAATAAAAGAGACAATCTAGAGCAAGAAAGGAGTTTGTGATGGGAAGAACAAGACAAAAAGAAAATAAAAAGCAAAACAGTGTGAGATTCTTCTATTTCCCTTTTTTTTTAGATCTTTTTCAATTTTAAACAAGTAATAAGCATTACAATTTAGGTAAGTAAAATTGCTTGATAAATTTAAAATATAAAACAAACTGCCTTCCTTTTTTTTTTTTGTTTGCCTCCACATTATTGATTTTTTTTTTTTTTGGAAAGAATTTCACATACTTTATACTTTGACCTGTCTTTTTTTTTTAAAAAAAAAAAAAAAAAAAAGAGTATAAAATAAGCTTTTTAATTCGACATGCATGTTCGCTTCGTGCGTACGGTGTATCCATTTTTTAAAAACAATAAATAAAAAAAAAACTCAGTCACTTTTGTTTGGAATGTCACGTGTCTTCGACATGCTTTTTTAAAAACAATCAAGATTGTGAGGCTTGAGTTCACTATCTCAATATTAAGACAAAAAACCATCCTATTATGTAGAAGTTTGTTAGCCATTTAGATGAGATGCCAGTTCGATCACTACCTGGTTAAGTCTAAACAAAGTTCACAGTTATAGGGAACTGGTGATTTAGATCTTCTGTGTATGAGCAACATTCCATGCAACTAATTCACCTACAGTGCAACCCGTGGACCTCAATTATCTTATGAATCTTAATGTAAATGCCCAAACAAAGAATTATGAATCTCTAATTTAATGATACTTATTAAGTAAGGTCAAACTCTAACAGAAACATGCATTGCAGTCATGTAGAAATTCAAATATTCTTTTCTGTAAACAATTTATGGAAGTTATTTGTATGACAATATTTCTGTTAGTGAGCAATACTAATTTAAATTGTGTTGGTCAATTTTAGAAAACTTGATGGATAGAAACTTGCAACCAAGATTTTATTTTCTGGCCATGAGCAATTTTGCTCCACAGATATCTCTTTGTTGTTGCAAATGATAATAGTCTATGTTCAAATTGTGTACCAATGATGCTTTTCTTGAAGTTCTATGGAATTTTTTTGTTAAACTTTTATGATTTTGTATTAAGAATGCATCATTCCAAGGATTAAAAGTTACTAGAATCAGATTTGGAGAACTTGATGGAAAGAAACTTGTAACTAAAATTCTTTTCTATTTGTCATTACTTAGGTTTCATGTTTTCGGTATTGGAAAGCGCTCAATTGGATTTAGTGTTCGAATTGAGGTGAAGACGGGGCCTAAAGTATCAGTATGTAGTCTCTGAACATCCTTGTACTAATCTACATATATCAATTGTGCCCAAATCTTTTAATACGTTGCACTTATCTTGTATACTTCTTTTTATAGTTTCTCAGATCGTTTCTCCAATTGCTTGACAACAATGATGCTTCCATCTTATGTTCTGATTTAAACAAGTGAAAAAACCTGACAGATTATATGAAAAAAAAGGTTTTCTTCATGTCTGACAGTAGGGTTGAAACCATCTTTCTTTTGTTGCATTTTTTATATTGAAATTCTGTGGCTAAATTATGACTTGAGGATAATTAACCCAAGATTGTCATTCACCTGGCTTATCTGCTCATGAACGAGGCTTCCATTTTTACTTTTATAAATTATTACAGTGAACCAAAAGAGTATTTCTGGAATAGCAACGAAGAGTTCGAATATTGAATGATTTTTAAGGTTTACTCATTTTTAATCATGAAACTCCTCTAGGGATATTGAGTTGTGACCCTTTCATCTGTTGATATTCCATGCATTTGGATAACTAGTTAACTTTTCCTGTTTTCCAAATAAAGTCTGACAGATATCAAATTTATTTGAAATTGAATATAGTGTTCTGAATATGTGAACGTCCACCGTATTTTTTTGGATTGATCATCCCATTCACACAAGTACACTTTCTTCCTTTATGTTTTTTTTCACTTTTACGTGGATGCAGTGGATTTAAGAATGTCAAGAGTTGACATAGTGTCACTTTAACTGTCCAAAAATTAAGCGAAATCAATAATGATCTTTCAACAAGTTTGTCTATTGTTTCCCTTATGTAAATGGTTTATGGATGGTTTGGATCACATTTTTATATTTCATGTTATACTATATCCATAAATAATAGATATCGAAAAGCTTCAGTTCATTATACTTGAAATTGCAAAATCTATGATGAGTTGGCTAATAAAATGTTTTGGATGTTATTGCTAGCAGGAAGTGGTTGTGGGTCCTGAAAATAGGACAGTGACATCGAATGATAATTTTCTACGAGTGAATCTTATTGGAGATTATGTTGGATACACAAATATTCCATCATTTGAGAATTACTATCTTGTTATTCCGAGGCAGGTATGCTAGCATCAATGACCTAATCTCGATATATATGTTTTAAGTGCTGTAGTTGACCATATTATCTCTTGCAATAAGAAAACACATCTTTGGTATGGTCCCCTCGGCTATTAAGATATGAGGGATTATATACATATCCCAGGAACGGCTCATCCCCATCCCTATGTTATCTGGTTTTGTTCCAAATCACAAAAAAGTCAGTTTGATAAAAATGTGGAACTGTGTAGATTAGGAGTAGGGTGAAGAAAGATCCTCGAATCTTGGTGGATGATGCAATGTGACCTCGGGGTTATGTTGTGGTCCATTATGGATTTCTAGTGGTTTGTGGTCCGTCTGTTGAAACCAAGGGCTTGCAAGGAATATTTTCTTAGCAGTTTATACCTTGGCAAATCTTAAGGAGAGCCAGCACGCATCCTCTAACACACATGTTTGCCACATGTTGCGCTCAACACTTCACTTATCCCTCAAATATTCCCCTATGAATTGGCAGCATCTCCAATTAGTATTACACTATTACTCCAATACATGCTTTTGCTATTACCAGCTTTCGTTTACACTACCATATTTCCAAAAATAAGAGATGATATCCCATTTTCAACTTGGATAAACTTTCGGACACCACTGAAAGGGAGAGGAGACAGCAAGTCAGCAACAATCCAGGATTCTCCTGCTTCTTTACTGGCTCTTTCTCCAAAATTGCCACTCTCTCTCCTAAAACCACAATTTTCACCCTGGCCCCATCTCATAAGGTTCCCCATCATCCTAGGTATTATACCTTCATTTCCATAACTACATCCTGGCTGTTAAATATATTATATCCGGATGAAACGATTGAAATACCCTCATATCTACACTCACTGAAATCATACAACTAGGTATATGATTACCAACTACTCCAAAAGGTTAAATTGTTAGAGAAGGTTTAACTTAAATATTTATAACCTCTAACACGCGGTGGCCAAATTTTGTTCCAACATGTGTCAATTTCAATTACTAGGTGATGTGAGTTGAATTCAGGATCTTGCCTACTTTGATACTGTTAACGACCATCTACTCTAAAAGCTTATGGTATCAGAGCAGGGTAGTCCTATGTTCAAACCTCAACGTCATCTTAATTTAATATTGAAACACGTGTTGGACCAAAAGAAGGCCACACTGAGGGGGCATGTTGAAGGATTTATATATTTAAGTTACACCATCTCCAATAGCCTAAGCTTTTAGACTAGATGGTTGTTAACATGGTAGCAGACCCAAAGGTCTCAAGTTCAAATCTCACCATCACTCTAATTAAAATTGAAAACACGTGTTGGACCAAACAGAAGGCTGCATGTATATTAATGTGACACCCTCTCTAACAGCTTAAGCTTTTAGAGTAAATGGTTGTTAACATGGTATCAGAGCAGGGTAAGTCTTGTGTTCAAACCTTACCATCACCCTGATTTAATATTGAAACACGTGTTGGACCAAAAGATGGGCACAAGTGTGGGGGCATGTTAGAGAACTTGTAACCTAATCATTAATATCATCTAGCAAGCGGGCATCCTGTTATCATTATGTACAGTCACATACTTCCTATGTGCTTTAGTTGCTAGTAACAGAAAATATGGCCTAATCAGAGTGGGATAATGAAGCAAGACTTCTCTTGCCAACCTCTAGTTGAGTTGGGTTATATTGGTTGTTCGTGTTGACATGATTATGTGTAATTTATTGCTTTAGCAAATACTATTCACCACTTGAGAAAAAGCATATAGTTGTATTGAGCAATCAATGTTTATGCTTTACGTTTTTATAAGATTAAATCATCATTGCAAGATTCAACCATGGGCCCGCAGTACCTTATTGAAGTAGCTAATTAAACATGTTAAATTAGTCATCTTTAAAAATTGTGTGGACACTTGACATGCAATACGTGCAACACTTTTTTTCTAATTTTTGTGTTTGTTGTTTTTCATTGATTGTACTCCTATTTTAGAAAAGATTACGCTATTTGCTTGTAGACATAATCTAACAATTCTTTCTGATTTTTCACTACATGAGGATTGTGGATTGAATTGTTTGGGTGGTTTTATATTGCTGACTGTTTCTTCTTTCTCATGTTGAAGGATGGACCAGGTCAACCACAAACTTTGGGGAGCAATTTTTCTATGTGGATGCTGCTTGAGAGAGTCAGGTTTACCTTAGACGGTCTTGAATGTAACAAAATTGGTGTTGGCTATGAGGCTTTCAATGATCAACCAGATTTCTGCTCTTCTCCAGTTTTGAGTTGCTTGCATAATCAATTGTGGAATTTCTGGGATGTTAGTAAATTGAATTGAAAATTGTCAGTTACTGTGAATCCATGCTTTCATGCTAGCCTTTTTTGTTAGATCAACTTTTATGTTTATTTGTGTATTTATAACTACTTAGATGAACATATAATCATATTATCTGCTTTTATGGTTTTGCAATTAATTTGTTATTTCTTTCATCGCCCAAACCTGTCAGCGTGTTCCTTTGTGAGTGTTTCATTTTTGACATTTAGAATGGCGTTGAGAAGCCTTATAATTGTTGCTATGAACTGAGAAGAATCTATCTTGTCTCTCACAGGCTGACCAGAACCGAATTAAGAGGAATCAGGTGCCACTTTATGGTGTGCAAGGAAGGTTTGAAAGGATAAATCAGCATCCAGTTATGTTTCAGCAATTGTAAACTTCATATTCTGAAGGATTTCTCCCATCTGAATCTATAATTATTAGCAACTGTGTGCAGAATGGAGGGAGTCGTTCGTTCTCGATAGGAATCACTGAAGTTCTTAATACAAACCTCTTGATAGAACTAAGGGCTGATGACATAGAATATGTCTACCAAAGGTTTATTCAATTTCTTTATATTGTGCCTTAAAAAGTCGCGTTATTTGAAGGTTCTGGTATCACTGAAAGGCATGCTTCTGAGTTTTTGGTGGAATATGGAGTTGTATTATCAAGCGATACAATTCAATCTGAGCCATTCAGCTCTATCTAGGGTCATTTTCTTTGTTATATTTTAGGCCTTCTTACTTTTTATCATTGCTTCTCCCACGCTTTTTAGCCCTCCCCTACCCTTGTAGTACATTCAACACTCTCCTCTGTGGTGCATTATTGATCTTCAACAGACATGAACAGACCATCTTACTCTACTTTCCCTCATCCTCAATTGCTAAAACCTCTAGCTGCTTCTCCATGTACTTATTTCTTACTCTAGTTTTTTCCTGTTGCCACTTGCCACTCTAACATATATGTGTGTGTGTGTGTGTGTGTGTGTGTATACATATATATTTGGCTAACTCGTCTCCTTAATTTTTACTGAGTGAGGATGAGCCATTGTTTTTTTCAGTTTTTCTCCTGCACATGATCTCATCACTATGGGTTTGGTATTTAGCAGGCACAAAAATATTATATCGGCACTCAAATATCATATCAATCATACAGAACATATCATTCTGATATTTTAGTGGAATCCTGTTCCGCAGTATTGTTAAGTTAGCTTTATTGTGGTCCTTAATTGTGTCATATATCTCCATCCTTTTGTAGGAGCCCTGGAAAAATTTTAAGCATTACTGTACCAACTTTTGAAGCCCTTACTCAATTTGGAACTGCTACTATCACAACCAAAAATGTTGGTGAAGTAGAAGCATCATATAGCCTTACGGTATATCCATTGAACCTTTACTTGGCATATTATACATCATTATTTCCCAATTTATCTTCTGATAGATGTATATCTATTGTATAGTATTTTTATTTCAAATTTTATGTATAATTTCAGGGAGGAGATTGATATTATCATTGAGGTTCCTACTGTTTTAAGAAAAAATAATCTTCTATTCATGGAGAATTATTAATTTTTTGCTTCACAGAATTGTTAATATTTCAGTTTCATTGATGAAACTCTTAGTGGACTGAAAAGTGATGTTAACATGTGTTTTTGACTACTGCAACCCGAGGAAATCTGATTAGCACCTAGTTAAAATTTCTATGTAGCTCCATGTTTGTATATGATTGTCACTTATGTAGGGGCAAAATTACAGATTGTTTGGTCCTAGGTGACAGAGTAATCCATTCAAGAAGAAATAGTTTACTACTATGTTGAAGTAGTTATCCATAAGTTGGAGCTTTGATAAAAAAAAATTGATCTAATTATTTGCCAAATTGATGTGGAATATTATGAGAAAAGTGACCTTAAATTTTAGAATTGCCTTCAACCAAATAATTTTTTAGTGAGTTTTATGTTTTGTTGATAATAGAAAATGGAGTGTTACCAAAAATATCAAATGCAAATTTTAAATAAAGGATTGAAAATTTCATTAGCTAATAACCTACGATTCAACCGTTTACTGTTCCAAAGTTTATTCTGAATTCAGATGTGACCAAATTTTTTTTATCTTGCAGTTTGACTGCTCAACAGGTGTCAGCCAAATGGAGGTATACTTTTGCAGTTTGACATGGATCCAAGCTATTGCCATGATTATGATTAGACAAGGAAACATATTAAACATATGTCTGAAAGTTTATACAATTCCAGGAGCAATTTTATATAATGAAGCCAAAAGAAGTTACAACTCGATCATTCAAACTGTACCCAACAACTGATCAAGCTGCAAAATATGTGTGTGCAGGTATGATAGAGTTATAGGTTTACATAGCATCTTTGGCAGTTTTCTGGAATCATAGATAAGATGGTAGTGAATAGCATCTTTGGCTGTTTACTAGAATTATAGATAAGATGGTAGTGAATATCATTGCTGAATCCATGCAATTATGCTTGGTTGCAGCCATACTAAAGGACTCTGACTTTCACGAAGTTGATAGAGCTGAATGCCAATTCACTACTACAGCCACTGTTCTTGACAATGGATCACAGGTTTGGTTATGGTTTTAAAACTATTTTTCCATCAACACATCTTCATATCAAGTAAATATGTGATGGTTTGGCTTGTGAGACTCTAATAGAATATTGTTTAAACATTTTATTTCTTGGATAACAAAAGTAATGAAAAATGTTTGGTTAATGCCCTTAAGGAGTTATAAAAATTACCATAGCTGTACTCTTTTATTAGTTTATATGACTTCGAGTTTGGAATATACAGAATATATTGGCCATATATAAGCTCTAGTGGATACTATAGAGATCAGGTATCCTACAAAAAGACACAAGTTAAAACCAGATGGAAAAACAAGTGATTACCCATTTGCTCTGCTTCCTTCTGAAACAATTTTTTCTATCCAATTTCCAGCCTTTTTTTTTGGCTCATCAGTGATAATCCTGTCAATAAGGAGTAAACAATATTTGTTAGAGGAATTGAACTTTATGCCTTCCCAAACATGCTGAGAGCACAGTTGCAAGCTCCTGTAGGATCTTGTTAATATTGAACAAAAATAGACTGCAATGCCAATATCTCAAATTAGTAAATTATGAAGACGTATTTCATCTAGACGTGTATTTTCAGATCTTACGCAAAGTATCATGTTACTCTTATTTAAGAGCATGCTAGATCTGAGTTAAACGCTTCAAATTGTGAGACTAAAATTAAACAATATATTATAATCTCAATTCTCTTGTTAAATATGAAAGGAAACTACAAGTTGTAGCACCATAAATATAACAGTTTCATGATAAATTACTAACCTATATAAAACTCTAATAACACAAATAGTAGCCTGGCACAAACATTTATTGCTGCAAGATCAATACAGAGTCACTCTTTTGTTTCTTTAATTGGCCAATCATTAAAATTATAGGGGCATATGTAATGCTCATGTATCGCCTCTCACAAATACGTGTTCATGTACTCTTTTGATAATTGGTCAATAATAAAAATTATTGGGCACATAGGGATCCTCATCTATTGCCATGTATTTTGTCAGTTCTATTTACATGATTGATTAAATTACATAAAGAACAATCTTATTACAGATTCCTTTCCAACCACCAAAGACCAGTATAAATGGTTTCTTTGAATCTATTGAGATCTTGTGGAACAAATTCTGGGACGGTTTGGCAGACTTCATCACTGGTAAAACTTGCAGGTACTTGTTCCAAGAAGGAAATATGTGTAACTATTCAGAAATTGTAGCCTATATTTAAATCTGCGCATTGTCTATTAAATATTTGACTTGTTTGGGCATGATAAATTACTGAACATGATGCTTTGTTTACTCTCTATGTTTGTATCAGGGGCATTTCAAGATTTGTTACCATTAAGCACCATTTTATACTCTGTGTTGATGTTATCAACCTGCTCATATTTATAATGGATGTATCTGGTTTCCATACTTCTTTGTTTTCTGTTAAAATTTAAACGGTTATTTTATTTCCTTGAGCACACACTTGCATGGTAGTAAGGTACTTTTTTATTCTTTTAAGGATGGGGGACGAAATGGCAATAATGACCCTTTGAACAACCTATTTGATTACTCTCCTTCTAACTTCTTGTTTGGAGAGGTATAATCTGTTTGAATGTGCTCCACAAGTGCCATGCTTTTTGTGGAGTGGTAGATAGAGAGACCTTTTCAGGTGGAATACATGGGCAATTTCTCTTTTACATAGATATAATGAGGTGACAGATTTGAGAGTCCGTAGTGCATACTGTTTGTTCTATGGGCACTACTAATTAAATTGATAGCCCTATAGTTGAAAGGTGACACCACCATGGACTTTCATCATGCTAATAATGTATCATATCCTTCCACCTTTAAGGACACATGATTCAGATACAGTCTTGCCCTTTATGTTTATATGCGCTTCTGCTTTTAGGTGTATGTATGTCATATTTAATGTGCTGCTTTATGAACCATGAGCATGACTAATATGCAGTTCTTGTCAATTAAATATTTTAACTGTTTCAGACTGGAATTACCATGGTTGTGCATCTAACCATTTTTCATGGTTCTTATGTGGAGCAGAAGGAAATGCTCAGGTTTTTTTGACTTCAGCTGCCATATACAGTATATATGTATGAGTTGGATAATTATGTTTGGTCTACTTTTGGCAATTTTCCCAACAGGTGGTCTCTACTTCAATTCTATTAAGTTTGCTGACTAAGAGGTGATTTCTTGATAAGTAAGTAATAATTTGATTTTATGAATTACATTTGAGGTGCAGTGATTGTGCTACTTTGGCTTCTACATCAGAAGGGACTCTTTGATCCTCTTTATGACTGGTGGGAAGATCATTTTTGGGCTGATGAACAGAGAATTAGAGATATGCGGAATTATGGAATTGATGCTGACCTCTCTCATATCCATCTCAAGAAACATCGTATGCAAGAAGGAAGGCATCATAAGCATGGTGCTCAAAGAATGAGAAGAAGTATACATAACGAGCACAGACATAAACATTCAGAATGGGACACAGATTATCATTATTATCTTCACCATGTTCATAAGGACAGGCACAGACATGGCCGAACCAAGAGTTCAAGTGTCATGCAGCAAGTTTACTTGCAGAAAGGGGAGAATGACAATGGTCACCGTAGATACAAAAAGGAAAGAGAATCCAAAATTGCCAGACATGGTCATAAAAACCAAGACGAATATTACAAGTACAAGCATGGACTGTTGGAGGATAAAGATTCTAAGTTGCATCCCAAGCAGAGAGAATAGTGGGATTGGATCAACATTGATTCTTGTTATAATACAAATTTTAGAATTTTAAAGCAAAAATCTTAATTTTTTTCTCCTTTTTTTTTTTTCTTTTTCCTTTTTATCTATTATTTGTTTTGGAGGGGGGATGGGAGTGTTGAGCACAGGGAAGCGCACAACTTTCCACAAATGTAATTTTGTGATTTGTTACACTAAGAACTAGTATGCATGCACAAAAGGGTGATAATGAGAATGTTCACACTAATTGTTACAGGCAAATTTTTATACTGATATGTGTGCTACATGTTGATCCTTGTACATGCCTTTTTTATCTTCTATATCTTTCATATATGTGTTGAGACAAAATAAACAGAAATGCACAAAACTTCGTATGTGATCCTGACCAAAAGTATCCTTAACTTTTTCTTGGCTTGACAGGGGTCCATTCTGGTTGCTTTTCCCCTTCTTTTGCCAGGCAAACGTGTTGTTGGCTGTCATCTTTTTGCAGGATTGATAACAAACCATTTTTAATAAAATGAAGTCGGAACCTCTTGGTGCTGTGCATTAGCCATACAAGTGACTTGCCTGTGCATAATCCGAATTTGATAAAATAGAGTTGGACGTTGCTTCCTGTTGCTTATTTTTTTTCTCAGAGATTTGAATGTGAAAGCCATTTGGAAATTGTAAACCAGGAGTCCGGACAATGTCTCCTCCTCTGATTGCTTGCCACCTGACAATTTCAGATGTAAATTAGGTTAGCCTCTGTCTCTCTCTCTCTCATACAAAGTTGCGTATACAATATATGAATCTCTTACTTGTGCTTTGTAACCAAGCAGTGAAGAAATACAGCCATTTGCACTTTAGTGAATTCTGTTCCCACGCAAAATCTCATTCCCCCTCCAAAAGCCATGAAATGTTTAGAAGCACCATTCAGTTCCATTCCCTGTATGCAGTCATTTATTATACAATATGGGAATTTAAAAGAGCAAGAGATTTAAACATGGCCGAAGCTATGTTTCTTATTAGCAGTGAACTACTTGAAATAATTAAATATAAATTAAAGAGCGAGTAATTCTGCAATACTCTACTTACCTTCCATCTCCATGGATTGAAGTCAAGGGGATCCTTATATTTGTCAGGGTTTAAGTGTACAGCTGGAGGACAGACCATGACCGCCCAACCAGCTGGAATGGTATAGCCTGCACCAATCCGAATTTTATATTAAGGTAAGTCAAAGTAATTGTGATTTGCTATCTTCCAACAAAGTCAATGTTGTCATTATTAGAAATTGACTAATCAACTGTACATATATATACCGTTAAACTTGACTTCTCTTAGCGCTTTTCTGAAAATCCCTGGAACTATATTGGCCAGCCTGACTGTTTCATTGATAAACTGCAATTTTAATGATAGTTAGCATTAGAAAAATACCCATAGGAATTTTGTGTTACTTTATAGTTTCTAAGAGAAAAAATAGACTTTTTGACCCACCTGAAATGTAAATGTCATTGATTTGTATTCTTTCCATGTAAGTCCAGAGTTCGAATTTTCCCGTGTTCTTAGAATTGCCTCATGTTCTTCCTGCGAGAATATATTTAGCACGTCAAGTGGAGTAATAATACTATAGGATATGAAGACATAATAAAGGTTGTCATAATGTAAGTGACATTAAATTTACTGACTGTTAATTCCATCAACACCAAAGGATGGTCCGAAAGAAATTTGGTGGCTAAAGTTAGAGCAAGGGAAGTTGTCTCAAAGCTGGCAAACAGTAGCACAAACATTAAATCCAGAGCTATTGCTTCTGTAAGGATTGTATTCTCTTTCACAAGCTCTTCAAGGACATAGTCAAAGAAATCAACTTGGTGCTTCCTAGGATTTGCCCGTCTCTCCTCAAGCATGTTCTTCAGCATCCTCATTGCCTTCTTCCTTCCCTGAAGAAACTCAAAAGATTCAAAACCAAGGGTGGACTTGGAAACCAATGATAAAAAATAAATTTCCCCATTAACTAGTTTTTTTACTATATCTTCTAGTTTACCAAACAATTCCAATCTATCTTGGAAAAAAACATTCACCTTTTCTGGATGCATAATAATTTTAAATAGAAGGAATGTGTGTTAAACGATTAAGATCAGTGTGGAAGGTTTTGATATACCTTTAGACATTTGTGGTAAGCAGTTCCAGGAATATTTAAAGGGAAGGAGATTAATCCCTGTATGAAAGCAACAAAGTTCTTCCGCAGATTTTCTGATGACTTCTCTGAATCATAACTGATCAGTTTCTTTGCAGTCAGGTCAAATATCATCTGTAAAGACAGAATTGTTCGTTGACTGACTTGTAATGACAAAGATTTGGTGAATTTCTAATTTGAAGAGAAGATGGCAGATAGCAAAAGCTTACACTTGCAGTAGCATCCTTTAATTCAACTGTGTGCTGATTTGACCACCTCTTTAAGTTTCTACATACTTCCCCTTCAACTTCAGGAATCATCTTTTTCAGGCTTTCAGGACCAAATAGATTCAACACCATGCCCTTGAGGTATTTATACATGAACCCATGCATGGAACCCACATTCTGTCGTCCAAAGATTTCCGTGAAGGTATCTGGATACCAGCTCTGGAACAGTTGTCCCTCTTGTTGAAAAATGAAATAACTAAGATCTGGGTCTGTGGATACAATTACTGGTCGTCCCACCAAACTGGTCCGGAATATTGGCCCATATCTGAGAAGTAATAGCCAAAAATTACATTATAAGAAGAAAGATGAGAATGCTGATGATGATAAAGATTGCGCTACTCTTCTAACTTGTTTGTCGGTTGATTATAATAATATTACCTTTCCCTCCTCTTTTTAATGAAGGGAGGAATATCAGAGGAAGTGTTTGGTGCAAAGAACTGAAGAGTCTCACCAAGGAGCAGCAAGCCCATTGACCCCGGAGGGAGTTTTCCATTGCATCTCGGATTCCTCCAGCGGTAAACCCAATGTGTAATACTTATAATAACCAAAGCTCCAATGCACAAAGCAGTTGGCCCCATCTTGAATTGAGAATATTTAGAAGAATGTGAGAGAAGCTTGAATTGAGAAAATTTAAAATTTTGCACTGGGTTTCTTGTAGAAAAGAGTCTGTGTTGAGATTAAAGAAGTATGCGAGGATTTGAGGTTAGAAATGCGGGCAGGGAAGACAAGGAAGAGTAGGAAGTGCTGGCGTGTATCTCAGTATCCATGAGGAGGCTTACTTAAATAGGGAGTCCAGAACTACAACTAGTTAGAATAATATTATTAAGTTGGCTCCGAAGTTGGTTGCTCAAAAAGCTGTACAAGTAGTTGGAGATAAGAATAGAATAGCTAGAATAATTTTGTCTAGAGACCACCCATTTTCCTTTGTCAACATCATCTATAAAATTCCTGTAAAAGCCTAGCATGACGATGAAGCCTACAGGATGTTTCCCCTCTTTCTCTCTCTCATGCTCTTGGTAGATGCATTTTTGGTTGACTACATAAAACATGAAACTGAAGAAGCACGAGGCAGAAATATGGGCTTTTTTAAGGAACAGGAGGGCTCTCTCTAGATTTGAGAAGATAGAAAGTTCAAAAGATCTGTCTGACTAAACTTAGTATCAAAACCAATCTTCAATGGATCATTAAATACTAGAATCTAATGGATTTCAACAATACAAATCTTCCTGTTATCTATGCTAAATACTACAGTATCTATTTGACGTTGATGCCATGAGGAATTCTACACATGTTGATCTCGTCTTCCCTATATTTTTCTTCTTTGTTTTTTAGAATTAGATCTCTTCCTAGATCTTCTTTAGCTGTACTCGTTATATCATGTGGTATTCTGAATCTTAATTACATCACTAGTGATTTCAAATGGGATGTTCTTGATATGCCGCCCACAACTACTCTATATGCTTTTTTACTTCAATAGTTATTTCATTATTGTTTTTTTAGCTCTTCTTTTCTAATTCATTAGTGTAGGTAAGCTAAGCTACTTGTTCAGGTTAATTCATTTCCACACATAGAGCACCACCCCACCGGCCCTTTGAGCCACGGGCTCAATCCCATCAACAACTATTACAATGTAGGTAGGTTACTGTTTTAATTTGATTGACCATTATGTACACAATTATTCATGTACAATATTTATTAAAGTCTACAGCATAATAATGGAAGAAGTTTTATTTATCAAATGGAATTCAGACACCCTTTGGGTTAACATAGGGATCCTAAAATGTTGTCTGGTTCTGGGATTTGTGAAATTTTTTTTTTTTTTTTTTCAGAAGTCTCGTGTGCAGATTAAACATTTGGAGTCAGAGAGCATTTTTGGAATCTAAAGCTTCTAAGGTAATGCCATTGCTTCACTTTTGAGGGTGTGTTTGAATGCTCTAATTTTTTAACCCCTGTTTGCTTTGTTTATTATTGTAAGGGATGCTATGCTTTGCTGTATCTTCAAAACTTCTGCTGCATACCTTTTTGCATTTAATAAAACTCATTCAAATGTGGCATCCAAACAGAGTTTTAAATTTTTCCATCTGATGATTTCTTTTTCTTTTTTTTTTTATTAGTTTTTAAATGTCGAATGGTTTGTTTATTACAGAAGAATTCAAATTGTTGAGTGGATTGCTTGATAGGACTACACGGATTGCTTAACTGCTTGGCATGGGCTTGGAAAGGTCTCCTTGAGGGGGTGCACAATAATGACAGCTCAATGAGCCCTTATTTTGGGACTTTAGACAATTCATTTCCCTAAACAATAGTATAAAAAGTGTTGCTATGAAGTCAAGTTCTCTGGACCCAATGAAGAGAGCTTTTATAATACTACTAGGGAATTGCTCATGTCTGGTTGGAGGGTTGGGGATAGGGTCCTACCTGTCTTGATTAAGTATTGCGCAGATTCATTTAAGGGGACCCACATGCAATGGGCCACATAAGAGAGATCTGATTGTAGTAGCAAGCCAGTGTATAAATCATTGATCTATCTAACTTCTTCTTGCGCACACTCACCATGTATACTTGCCCCCAATGGAATTCGAACCCTTAACCTCTCCAAAGCGGAGTAAAGCCTATTATTAAGGGCCCTAGAGATTACTCTACCCTCTTAAAAGTTAAAATTGGTCCGCAAACAACTTGTGTTACAACCTTTTGCATAGTCATCTGTTAATACCCTTTGTCATATACATCTAGATTTGTTTGGTGTCTCGTCTTTGGATGATGTTGGGACTTTTTCATCCCACGAGCAACTAGTCCTTTTTAAGTGTGAAACCGTCTTCGTGATAGATGTGTTCTTAGTCAAGTTGTGTGTGCATGGGAACACAAGTGACTAGTTGTTTTAGGTGGAATTGGCCCCGTGACAACATCATTACTTTAAGATATCAAGGGGGCTAATTGAGACTCGATTCAACAGTTGCAAAGGGAGCTCATGGCGGGAACACCTATTCGTTTATATTATAAGGTAGTTTAATAGTATAAAGTAGACTAATGTTTTGTTCGGTAGAAAGGAAGAAGAATGGAGGAAAAATAGAAAGGAAAGAATATACATTCGATATAGAGAAGACAATAAAGAGAAATGATAATAGGAGGGATGAATCATCCTTCCTTCTTTACAAATTTTCATGCCTCCAAAAAAGGGTAGAAGAAAGGAAGGAAGGTAAGTGGCGTAATTATGAAAGTTTGAATTACAATACTATCCTAAATTATACAACTTTTAAATTACAAAATTATCCTCTATAAATTAAAATATTGTAAAACGATAAAAATAATTTAAAACTCTCTCACATTCTCTCCCAACGAATACAATAAATTGTGACCTTATTATATTCTATTCCATCAAATTGAACAAAAAGAGGAAATGACATAAACTCCTCTCTAGGAATGTCTCATTCATCCCTTCTTCTCTCCTTCCATCTAAATTTTTTCTTTCAAACCAAACGAAGGATGAGCATAAAATGTAGCAAATTTAGCTCTACATGAGTGATTATACTGTTATCTAATCACATCCCTTTTTTTTCCCCTTCAAGTCTTGACATGCATTTGAAACCACTCGAGTTTAAACTAGTCTAATCACCACACTAAGGATGGAAGTATAATATTAGTAAGAGATATTACATTCACACTTCACTTTTATCTGTTTGTGCTTCATCTGCTTTTTCGAAAAATGAGATAGTATAATGGCAATACATGTTGCAGGTTGCAAGCGAGGACGAGAAGGTTAAGGACGAAGTTGTTCTTCATGTCAGTGCCGCGTGCATGGGGAATTTACCTCTAATAATAGTCACAGCAATTGTCAGCTGTTTACTAATTAATTTTGGGTATTCCTAGAAGAGCAGTGTCAAAACAAGTCACTTGTGCATGAATATGTAATGCTTATAGATGTATCATGTGCCTGCTATTTTCAGACCTTTTTTTTTTTTTTTTTTAAAAAAAAAAAATTTGGTCAAATGGCTATACTATTAATTTACCTCTAATACTAGATACTGCAATTGTCAGCTCTTTACTTAATTAATTTTCGGTATTAAATATGATGTTACCCATATTCTAGACGTGTTTAGTCAAGAAAAGTTACTTGTGGATTGCAGTGAGTCACAAATATTTACTTTGTTCATGTAAGGACTTTTAAGAGAGTCTATTCTTGTGCCACGAAAGCTCTTTTAATGCATACAATATTCAATTAATGTTGGCTTTGTTACATTAACATTGTTTTATAAGTTCCATTATTTTTATTTTATTTTATTTTTGTGTTCATAGATGAAGTGAATATCATGGATAATTTATTAACGAAATTAATGATCCATGTTTTAACACGTAATAGTGTATTTGAGTTGTTCTACTAAATTTGGAAGATCTTTACTCGAAATATGAGTCTTTTAGGTCTCTTTTGTTATCTACAGTTGGTCAAAAGCTAGTTGAATTTATTATAGTGATGGTAAAATAAAAAATAAGTGGTGTAAACTTCAATGAAATACATGTCTACTTCTTGCCATTTTGGCTTGTATAAGGGTTGACCTCCATCTTTAAAATAAGTCTCTATCTATGAATGTATATATATATATATAAAATAAGTATCTATTTATGTATGTATTTATGTAAAGATTTTTAGTCCAATGTTTAGTGAGGGACACCCGTTTATACGAAATAAATATAAAGATGACAATGTGTAACAAAACATAATATTTTATATCAAGACGTAACATTATTACATTAAAAATTCAACACACAAAACACTATTACATAACCCTATTACATTAAGAAAGCAATGCGCGTAACATTAAGAATGTAACATAACTATATTGAAAAAAGCAACATTATTGATGAAATGACATTGCGCAATAATCTCAACTTAATGGTGTTACGTTGTGTTGAGTTTTCGATATCATAAAATATGCTATTTTGACATAAGGTATTGTGTGCATATCAAATCTTTGTTGTTTTGATGCATTTAAAAATATAAGATATATAGTTGCAACGGAGATGATCTCGATTCTTTCAAGTATAGTTATATTCATGACCATGTTAAGATAGATGGCCATACATCTTAATATTAACTTTATTTTGACACATAATTGCAATTTTTAGCGGTAAATAATTCTTTTTAGTCGTGACAATTAACTCCTATAATAAAGAGCTTGTAGACCAATGTTTTGAATGCTTGTGTTCCAATCTACTTACCCGGGTTTGACCCTTATTTACCACCATGATGATACTTATATTTCTTGAACATAATTAGGTATGATATAATCTCATTATATTTCATTTTTATTTTTTTTGAACAAAGGTCAAGTATTTAGTTCCCTTTGCTATGATTTTTTTAACGATTATACTATGATATGATGTTATAACTAAAGACGTTAAATATTATTCTTCGAGCAAGAAGCACATGATATGTAAACAAAGTTTTTAAAAAGTATAAAATATGTATTTGAAATTTTAAAAACAAAAAACAAAAGAAAAAATCTCTTTTATATTTTATTATTTGTGCTTCATAGCGGCCCCCCATAAAAGTTGTTTAATGGGATTCCAAAACATGTTTATCTTTTTGCTTTTCTTTCCAACAACCCTATGATCATCCTTTTGTGGGAGTCTAAAAAATTATAAATTAATTTGACCCAAGAGGATTAGCATCGGGTTGTTCTCTTAAATCAAATTGGCCCTTAGATAACTTCAATCAAACGGCTGGTATTAAATTTGATATCTTGACCAATTAAAATAATAATAATAATTGAACTAAGCAAGCTGTTGATGTGGTCATCCATGACCTAGGTGGTCATAAATATGGCCTAGGAAGCATGAATCTGGTAGCTTTGATCAAATGCAGACACAAAAATAATGATAAACTTAGACTTGTGAAACAAATCATACCAATTACTTCAGGTGCACTAAATATCTTTTTTCCTAGTTGCACTATAGGGCACATGACCCACATTCATGACCAGATCCACTTTTTGCTAAACTCACACCATCGTTGGGTCAGGACAGATGTCACAGATTAGATCCAATTCCATCCTAAGTTATACAGTTCTTCTAAACAGTTTTTTCTTCTAAACTGCTCTCACGTCCTTGCACTAATTCCATCCTAATTTATGCAGTTCTTCTTACCAGTTGCTGCTCTCACGTTCCTTGCGCCTCACGCTCCCACTCCGCGCGCACTTTGCTGCTCTCACATTCCTTGTGCACTCCGCGCGCACTTTCACTCCCAGTCACACCATCATTGGGTCTGAACAGATTAGGTCCAATTCCATCCTAAGTCATGCAACTCTTCTAAACAGTTGCCGCTCTTGCTGCTCTCACATCCTTTGCGCCTCACGCTCCACGCGCACTTTCATTCCCACTCCAAACTCCAAATGACTTAAATTTTGCCGCTTTCGCGTTCCCGTGACTTAATCCATCCCTAGCACTCTTGCTTAATGTGTGTGAGAGAGAGAGAGCCTGGAGAAGGTGAATGGACCCCAAAATGACAACCAGCCCATTGATTCAAAGAAAATCTCAAATATGCAACCCATTCTAAATGTATTAACTTTGTTCTTTTTTCTGTTTAGTAAAATAGATCTCAGTACAGTCTTCTACAGAACAGGAAACCCCTAAAATTCTGGTTTTCTGTAGCCATTTTCTAACCCTTTGATTGTTATACAAGAACACGTACAAAAGATTATAGTTAACCTTCAACGACGAAAGCAACTTTGAATGCAACAGTATTTGCAGATGGCCGTGCAAACATATTTGCCGTGGTTTTTGGTGCAGTCACATATTCCCGAATAACCAAGAGAAGCTGAATGATCAGATAGCGATGAGTACATTGCAAAAAGCTTCTCCACAGTAAATAGCATTGTAGTAGATCTGTCATCTCAGACTTTTTTAGTAGATAGCTTTCTTATCTTCCTGTCATGGTTGAGCATGGAACTTACACTTTCTACCACCAAAATAATCTGCACAAAAAACCAAAGCTTACATAGAGAGACACAAGTGTATCCCAAGTAATCTGCAGATACATCAGCTAATTTGTGCAAGATGTCATCTATCATGTTCAAAGTTATTCCACACCATATGCAGATCTCCTCATAATAAGTGGAGGTCAAACTTTCTTCTTATATGGTCCTGGTGCTCTTTCGTTCAGCTTAGGAAAAAGAAAAGCGTCTTCTACACCGAAAGAGGCAAATCTCAGAATTGTAATTAGACTAACAGCTTCCTTCACACGTTTACTTGAAATTTTCCAACATTTTATGTTATTTTAGATCAAAGACCAAAACTCTGCCTATGGGGGAAAGGAACTAAAAATATACTTTTCCAAGTTATCGCATTAATGCCAATCGCTCAATAACAGCCGATCTTAGAGCAGCAATCTCCTCATTGTTCAAAGATTCTGGACGGGTCCGAATACTTTCACAAGAATTAAGCACCGAATCATCACCAAAAAGTTTGCCAAAATTGAATTGCAAATACTAATAATAAAATAAGCATTTAACCATGTATCCATCATCAGAAAAAGCTTAATTGAGGCTTGTTTTAATTTTATTACAATTTAAAAGAACTTAAAATTAGAAGGGGAAAAAAATCATTGTTAATGCAGTAATGTTTAATTTAATTACGAACAAACACTAACTTTTACCACTGCATTTGATTGAAAGCACCAAAAGCAAAAGGAAAAGGCTAAAGCTTAAAACTAGAGAAGTTTGAACTGCATGAAGACATTCTTTTGCGCCTTCTTGGCAAATTTTCATTAAATATTAGAATCATCTGATGCACTAGCTAAAAAATAAAGGGAAAAGAAGCAAGAATATTTTCATTTAAAATTAATTAACTAAAAGTAACAAACCTGCAAGCAAGCATAAGCAATTGCAGTTGCGAAGTAAAAGTTCGCATTGCCGGTACCCTGCAAATTTCATATTATAAGATCAAATGCTGTCACCTTTGATTGTGTGGGTATGTGTGTGAGCTTCAACAAAAACATACCCTCCATATCCATAGATTGTGCATCACAGGGCTAAGGAGAGAAACTCCCACATATCCGGAAAAGAGAAAGAAAGAGAACTGCATCTCTGCATGACATGGTTGATAGATATCGTAAGATGCCAATCCATGTTAAACCCTTCAAAAACAATAGTGATCTTACTAACTTGCCTGCTAGTTCATTGACAAACAAGCCCAACAAACCCAAGTACAGAGCTGAGTCTCCAACCTGATCCATTTTAAATCATACAACAGAAAACAAGGTTAAAATTTTGAATCACAAAGTTATATTTATTTGATAAAAGATTCAAGATAAAAAAGTAAATCCCAACCAAGTTCTTACTTCCACGGCTTGTTCTGGTGATTACTAAAATGATGCCATTAGAAGAAAAATTAGAAAATTTTAAATTTAACCCGAGATTATTTGGAAGATTGCAGTTGCATGTTAACATTAGCTGGCTATAGGCTGGAAGATAATTAAGCAGGCAAGAAGAAAGACCGCTCTTCCAGCTTGTTTAGACAATTACTTTAAACTAGTGTAAGAAATTTTGGCATCTAGGAGAAGTCACCAAAAATTTTAGTATGGAGATTCATTTCCACAGACCCAAGTGTTAATTTTTTCTTATAAGATTTATTTTAACAAACTGTAATCAATTGGTAATTACAAAACAATATACATGACGAAAGTAAACCAAAAGAGCCCCAAGGGAATGAAGATACAGCAATCAAAGGATGCAATCCTGGACCAATGGAAAATCTGAAACTAAATAATCAAAAAAATCTATACTGAAGTTTTAAACACCAAGACACTTCACTGAATATTCCATTATCCTTAACAACCATCAAATTATCAACCCTAATTTAATTTTCTAATCTATTCCTATCTCAAAGCAGATAACGGAAGAAAAAGATACCACCAATAAAGAACAGAGTAAAATAATTTAAAACTAATTCAGATTAGTTTAACATGAAGCATGTCTAGTACAAACCTACTTCTCTTCACAAGTAATGAATGAACAACGGTGAACAACAGTAAGGAATTTTCCCAAGAAAAATGTTGGGTGGAAGCTTAAATAGTGAAGGGCCATACAAATGAATGTAGCTGGGAAGAGGCAATCTCTCTCCCCAACCATTGACTCTGTAGAACAAGCTCAACGAGTATAACACAGACTTTTAGAGTTGACATATCCTCCAACGGTCAACATATATTATGCGGCTGTGGCTAAATGCAATTTCAAGACAGTTTCCAATAAATTAACACCCTAGTCATGTAGGTCCCTCTTAAAGTCAGTAGACCATCTAGAGAGTTGAAACCATTACGGAATTTCTAAAATTAAAATAGGAGGGAAAAGGCACTCAGTACACTTAATAATTGCAAAATGGAATCAAACCCTTAATGCATTTTTTTGGCTATTCTGATGGACTGAAATTCCTATTTTTTGTTGGTTGGAGTGGGAGAATGGAGGTTAGGGGTAAAGGTTTAGGTTATATGGTCTTCTGCATTTGAAGAGAATGCATACCAGTGATATTTATTTAATCAAGTGTGATTTGGTGGTCAAGAATAAAGGTTTAGGTTATATCATATATGGTCTTCTGCATTTTGAAGAGAATGCATATCTGTGATATTTATTTAATCAAGTGTCATTTAGTGGTCAGGACCTACATCAAGCTTTTCGTATTTGTTACATTCCCAAATATAAATGCACCTCATTGGATTGCATGAAGTTTCAAATAATGGTATGACTTCGCTTGCCAATTTAAAGGGAGAACTGTTGAGGAGATTGACGGGGACGTATGGTGGGAAGTCATGCTACTTTCAGACATGGATATGGGGGAATTCAACTCCCATCTTGTACCCAATTGAGTTGATTGATCAGGCTTTACCCTATGTATTTTCTGATTTTTGTTTTGTTGCTAGTCTGCTGACAGTTGTTATCCAAGGGAATGCCCTTGTTGCTATTTGCACCACTTTGTTATATATATAAAATTTTCCACATTTACCCAGGAAAAAAAAAAAATTAAGGGAGAATTTACCTTAGATGTCTTTGCAAGCAACAATTACCAGTATAAGAAGTTTCTTCCTATTAATAAAACACTGTTATTTATTGTTTTGGGGGGGGGGGGGGGGGGGTGGGGGGGGGTTTGGTGAATAGATAGTACTGAAGGTTATAAAAACAAAGTTAAGTTCAAAAGACAAGTTATATATGCCAGGAGGAAAATTAAAGAGCAATCCATGACATATCCATGGTTAAATCACAGAAGAAAAACTCCAATCCTGACAAATTTAGATTAGGGAAGGATGGGGAACTTACTGAAGGATAAGATTTGAGTATTGAAGAAATTGTAAGGTACACAAAAGCAAGAAAGCAGGGCCTGTGCTTTAGCCTTATTGCTAATGGCAATATCATGAATAAAATATTCACATGGAAAACAATCAGAAAGAAATTTCTGAAAAAATCAAAAACTTCTGCAAAGAAGTACCTGCATTTAAATACAAAAGGAGATTACATAAGTGAGGAACACAAAATAAATCACTCCAGAATCGACGTACAACACATCTAGCTTTGCACTCACCATAAGACACCAATATTTGGAGATAAGTCCTCCACAGTGAGAATAAACCCATATGTTCTGCACAATTGATCCATGCATGTAGTATGTAAACAATCAGTATGTATGTAAGCAACATAATTTAATAATATATAGAGCAATAGATCTTCTTCTTTAAAAAAGTGGGAGAAACTCAGTGATTAAAATACTGAAAATACATAAGTGATCAAATTCATTGTCCTTTCATAACCCGCGTTGTAAATTTTTACAACATGGATAAAATGAGGCTTTATGTACACAGAATTAGTATGTGTTGGTGCACTAATTCTTAAAAAGGAATTTAACGCATTATAAAAAGTGGGGAGAATGGGTTTAACAAGTAAATGATGGTGTATGCAGAAAAAAATTGGTTAAACATACATAATCAGCATGTGTTGTTAGAATAGATTGAAGATGCAATGCATCTATGTTTGTGAAAGATGAAAAAAAAAAAAAAAATTGTTAAACATCAAAAAATTGACTTTCATTTACAAACAAGTATTAAAAAAAACATACGTGCACACACTTTCTTTGGGTTTTAGCATCTATCGAAAAGGGTGAGATTTTTGGCTATCAAAGCCGACACTGGTTCAAATAAAGCAAACAGGATAATGACTGAAGGTATTTGCAATTTTTGAAATTTGATATGAAACACTAAATTAACATTCAGCAAAGACATGATCCCAAGTACTTCATGAAAGTTCTAGCATATCAAAGTGGGAAAGAATATAGGACAATGGTATGCATATTTGATATCAGAATGGTACCTCCTAAACATCTCCCAAAGACCACCATACTTTTTGACAGAAATGCCACATAAAAGGAGGACATATAATGCCCAAAGACATGCCCACAAAAAGAAATATACTACTGGTCTCCATGAAAAAGATGCTGGTTCTGCTGGTTGAGTAGTCAATTCCTTGTCTTGAAAATGGCCATCAGTTGAAGGGTTATCTCCAATTTTAAAAGACTCCGTTTGCAGAAACAATTTCCTTGGGGGAGCATCTGGACCGTAACCTAATAAAAGAATCATCTGGAACAAAAATGGACCAAATTTACAAAATCACAGATATTATGTCCTTGAACGAAAAGGGAAATTAATAGGACATTCACTACTAATCTTCTTCTATATTCTGGACAAAGAACTTAGCCCTTACAAACACCATAAGAATAAAAAGCATACCGGTATGATTAGAATTGCAGGATAAAGAGACAAATGTGTTGCAATGACCCATCCAAGAGCTGCCAATGGAACTAGTCCTGCAGTTCATCAGAAGCAACATATTCAATTGAAAATTTAAATTATATTTAGATCATTCACTAGTGCTTTAGAAAAGGCTTCTATTCCATCCTTAACTCAATTTTCAGTAACATGCTGAAAATGAAAAGAAGCCCCATAAAAGGGTAGTCAAGCCTGATAAAATATCATCCTTGATTGTCTCATCAATGCATCCATAAATAAACCAAAAGAATATAAATAAGGGGTCCCAAGTCCCAACTACAAGAGTAATTAGGAGAAAATTCAGCTAAAAAGTAAGAAGAGAAAAGGATCAAGATCGGAAACACCAAAACCAACAATTAAAAAGGTAAATCTTATTTTCGTATGATAGAAGCCCCCGCGCCACCCAAAAAAAAAAAATTCCACTCTTCCTACTGTTTGATCTAGAGACCCATCAAAAATCATAGGCAAAGGAAGGCCAAATCAAGCACTTATCTCGAGCCTCCAGAGCTTCTAAAATTAACCCAGTGAGCAACAACTCAAGCATATTTTCTGCCATAAAGGGATGGGACCCCAAAGTGGCAGGTCCCAAATCCCTACATAAGAGCTGAGTTCTCAGCCTGTATCTGGTAAAAACCAAAGATACCTCATTGATCTCTAAAGATGCCTCCAATACCCAACTTGGTAAAATATACATATGGAGCAATCCACCAATTGGAACCAAATACCAGGTACTAGAAAGTACCATAGCAAAGGTGGTAAGAGTATCTGACTTCAAAATCCTAAGGAACTGCCCCCAAAGAGAACTTTGAATTCTGTGTGGTAACATACAAAAAACCAATGGACCATTAGCCTAATGGTAGAACCTCTCCTTCCTCAAAGGGCGGTGAGGGGTTCGAGCCCCGTAGTGGGCAACTTGTGAAATGTGTGTGTGAGTACTCACCGAACAGGGTAAAAAAAATGAAAACACACATATCCGAAATTTTCTCAGAAAAAACAAACTTGTCCTGAAAAAATACATGGATTACTTTCCAACAAATTATTAGAAATCAGAGCAAGAAAGGCACAAGGACCACCAAGTTTTACCTCTATCCCCTTGCCAAATGCTCTTAAACTTTTCTTTATAAAATTAGATAATTCCACAAATTTACTGACATGCATTAGTAGTAAATGACTAGTGTTCTTTAAGCAAATATAAGGATCACCATTTTCTCAACAAAGAAGAAAATGTATGGTGGGAGAGAGGACAAAATATTCTAAGCAGTTCATTCGCTGATGGTATTTCTTTTATCTCTAAGAATAGTTCATTTCCTATCAAAAAATACCCACGGCATGTATCGCGCAAGAAAGAAGATACAAAACAGGTAGCATTTCATTCAGTGATGGCAGTTTCTTTTTTCTCTGTTACTATTCATATCCTACCAAAGATTACCAGCCTAACGCCCCACCTCATGGAAGAAAAAAGGATTCACTAACACCTCTTTACTTTCAATCAAATTAGTGGTTGTTGTCTAAGCTTTAATCTCAATATTTACCAATCATTTAAGTATATAGTACCATATAAATAAAATGAACTTATTCAGGATATTTACAAAATAAAATGTACTTAGATAATTTACTAGTTAAACAATTGTGCCACATAAAATGCTGAGACAGCGACTTCACATAAAAAATGACTTAGGACATGGATGTTTTGACAGTATTGGAAGAGATTTTCTGGTAAACAGCAAATGAAAATTGTTATGTAGATCCTAAATGAATGTAAACCAAAATTTCCCTTGTAATCCTGCTTATGCTTTTGCAGCTTATACAGCAATCTCGTTCTCCCAACCCATATTCATCAAGCTAAAATCACCAATAATTCACGAACAAAAAAAACTGACTCTGCAGCAATAGGACATAATTTTGTGGACAAAGAATCAAATTCGAAAGAAAATTAAATTATTTCAATGTAGCTGAACCCTCAAATAATAATCATCAGGTCTCACAATGGTGACTAGGGACGAAACGATTGTACTAAAGAATAATGTAGAAGGCCCACAAAGCATTAAACTCCTAATGTATTGGACAAAGATTGTCAGCTTCTCACTTGTACATGCTCCATAAATAGACAACATGATGACAAGATTTTCAATTGGGGATGTGGTAAAACCCACACAGGTGACTATGGTGAAAGGATTCCATAAGTAGACAAGAGCAGCAATATCCCCGGATGAGAGAATCTCTGAAAATATGAATAATATAGATCATCAGCTTATAAGGGGAAACGAGGAAAAAGAATAGCATCCAAATATAACTGTGCAAAAAATGCATTTTAATGGCGTCAAAATATAACTTAAAATTACCAGAATTTTCTAACAGTTTAACAAGGTTTAGTGATTTCAAACTTTGACTATATGTGAATTGAAGATTTCGTCCAGTTGCCCGAATAAGCATTGCAGTGATGAAGTCTGCAATCACAAAAACCAAACTGTATCCAAATATGTGTTGATATTAACAGTGTAACCAAAAACAGGAATGAACATAAATGTAATAAAAAAACAAAAATGCATATTCAAATTACAGCTTCAATTTCTTTCCTAGCTGAAAATTTTAAAAAATAATAATAATAAATTTATTTACTCACCAATACAATTAGCATTAACGAAACACCATGCCCAAAGTTGAACTACATGAAACTTCAGAAATCATGCTAGATCAGCAACTTCATCAGATTTTCAACCTTCTAACTCCTCAATCCATGATAATAAAATAATTTAACATTCATAATGTTTCGAACTTATTAAAATCATGAATTATCACTATTATGTTAAATAATAAAAAATAAATAAATAAATAATAATTTTTAAAAAAAAAAAAACATAGAATAAAGAAAAACAACCAAGAGATGTTAAACATTATCATAATATGTCCACATTTTTTTGTTTTCCTAAAGATAGGCAAAATCCATTAAAGAGCATCAGAAAAGGGAAGCATCCCATGTGCATGGGGTATACAAAAGAAGATACCAAAATAAAAAAGAATAATAAATGCCATCCAAAAAGTCGGCAAGAAATGTGGACATATTAAACCACCCCATCAAGTAAAACAAATAAATAGCTCAAAACAGGAATGTCAACTTTTAAGTAAACTCCACGCGGTGAAAGGGATTATCTATATCTCTCCTGCCAAAGATTTCATATGACACACAAGGGACAATCTCCCAAACACTTTTATCACTCTACCAAACACAACCCTCTTTCAGTTCACCAGCAGAACTCCTGACCTTGGCAAAACCCAAGTCACTGCAAACACTCAAAACAAGAGGGGCGTCAAACCTAAGTACATGTTTCGGGTGTGGCAACATGTCTATAAGACTCTTAAACGTCAGACTTATCAACAATCCAAACCCAATAAAACGGGTACACCCAAATATTCATGTTTCTAAACATTCTTCTTTTATTTCTTAAGGTAAAATTGTATTTTTATGTAAAATCAACCATCTAACATGGATAATTTACTAGTTTTGGAGTAGCAATGCAACAAAATGAACATATTGTGATTATAAAGTATACGTGAAATATCAAAATGATTGCTAGGTGCATGCCCAATCAAGCATGTAGGACACAAATCTCATACACATAGGGTCGATCATGTCCAAATGTCATGTACTAATGTAGGCGCTTCTTAGAAGTCTATGTAACGTTAACAATGAAGTATTTATTATTGACACTCTTTCCTTCAACATATGGAAGGATCAATGGGTTCCAGTTCCCTGAACAAGTGATCGTGGTCTCCACTATGTTGTTGTATTGACACTCTCTCCTACGTCTTCACATATGCAACACTGATCCATACCTGTTTACTACCTCCTCCTCCACTTTTCAGTAGTTGAATAAGCTTCCCTTGAAGCCCAAAACAGAGATATCAATTGTCAATTTAACGAGGTTTAGGCATCTTTCCTTGACAACTTGTTCTCCATTCATTTCTATACGTCACACAAAATTTATCTACGGACCATTCCTCACATATGAGTGACATGACTAAAAAATCCACCCAACCCTTCATTATGCTCTTCCAAAATGCGAACCATGGGTCAATCTCACCTTTCTGAAGGACCATTTCCCCTAGGCAGGTCCAAACTCTGTTGCTATGATCCTGATCCACAAAGAGACCTTTGCAACAGATATCTCCAAAACCATTTTTATAGAAGATTAGAGTTGAATACGCTTAATTTCTTAACCTCCAAGCCCCGGACTCGGTCGCAACATGTCACATCCAATCAATCAAATGATGCTTAAAATCGCCCAAATGCAACACCCAAAAAAAAAAAAAGACCCTTCTGAAGTTTCCCCAAAACACTATATAAGATAAAATAGAGAATGGATAACGGCTGGAAACATACATAAGCTTCTCCAGGTAGTTTTCTTAATTAGTTAATTACCAACCCCAATTATGCATTGCATGCACAAGTGGGGGCATGTGTGCGTGTTATTTACTAGTAGTGCATAATTATAAGTTGTAATTGTGAATAATTAAACAATATACATCGCTGATAACATAAGGAATACTAGATCAAACTACGCTTAGCAAAAATATTGCTAACTTTTATCTCAAGAAGGTTTAAATTATCACATCATATTCAGGAAACTAATAAAGAACTAAAAATGGAGGAACTAAAAACAACATGGTACCTGCATATGAGATGATTTGGTTGCCCTTCAATTCTGCCAGTATTAAAGTGATATTTAGCATCATAACACATATATATATGTAATTACTTGAGATGAAGGGTTTAAAATAAAGCAGATAGTGTACCTTTTGACTGTGAGCGGACCAAGAATTGAAAGTAGGAGAGGAGATCCATGGTACATTGAACCTATGAAACAAGATATGTTATGTTTTCTGTTTAATGAATAAGGTCGTTATTCAATTCTAGTGATTATAAACGTTACATGAAAATGTCAATAAACGAACCAGCGTAGGGCGACATCGATGACTGCTTCAACCAGTATCCTTCAGCCACTACAAGATCGAGCAAATCTCAGTTTAAATGAACCGAATATATATATGTGTGTGTGTGTGTGTGTGTGTGTGTGTGTGTAGAGAGAGAAGGGAGAGGAAGAGAGAGAGTGTACAGCGGCGGAGACTGGTGAGAGGAGTGGAGACTTCAGGTCGAACGGCCAAGTTGAGATTTTTGGGGAAGTAAATGAGGAGGAGTCTGAAGATGACTGATGCGAAGGCCCAACTCCAAAACCTTGTCTCCTTTTTCTTCTTCGTTTCCTCCATTTTTCTCTACTCTTTTCAGATCGGAGCTAGCTCTCGGGAAATAGAGTACAGGTTATGGTTTTGGGCAATGCAAGGGATATGGGAAAGGACACCCAATACGACGGCGTCGTCTCCTTTAACCGTTATAGCCAATATAGTAGTAATTCTTAGGGGAAATTATCAACAATTCCTGCGTTTTTCATTAAAAAACCAAATAAGTACTCTATTTTATTTATATTTTAAGACCAATAAGTTCATTTTTTTATTGTATTGGCAAATATGGTGTTCTTTTAACAAAGGGTTAATTATAACGACACCCTCTGAGGTTTGATGTATTAACAGCCATGTATAAATTAGTCATTTTTTTAACAATGACATCCCCTGTGAGAATTTTGATCCAAACAAGCCCTTAAAATGTTAAAAAGACGAAATTGCCCTTCAATGTTTAATTCATTTTTGTGGAAAAATATCAGAACTTATGAAAAGTCAATTTTGCCCTTATATATATACATTATTACATCAACACCATCATATATATATATATATATATATATATATATATATATATATATATAAAACCAAGTCCAACAAAAAATTGGGATAGCAGCACCGTCGCCAACCACAGCCAAGCTCCACCTCCCTCGCCGGATCTGTCTCACCGTCCACAGCCATCGGCCGAGCTCGTCGTCGCTCTCATTGCCAGTCGCAAATCATAGCCGACTTCTCCTTACCCGCCAGTGGACATCATCAAAGCCGAGAGTTGTAATACCCCGATATTTTAAATGATTTATTAATTGGAATTAATTAATTTTATTTTATTTTTAAATGATGTATTTGATTTAATTTGAATTAATTGCGTTTATTTTAATTTTTAATTGATTTGTTTTATTGAGTGCTTAGATTAATTGTTTTATTTTATTTATATTTCGTGAATTATTGATATGATGATTGTTGTCTGTGTGTTTAATTATTGATTGAATTATTGGCGTGTTAATTTTATTGGTATGGTATAACTTGGTTGTAATTTATTATTTTCTTTATGTGCTAAGTATAATTAGTTTTTAGTTTTTATTATTTAAGTGTCTATTTAATTATTTGATTTATTTAAATTAATTGGATTTGGGATTAAGGGAAGTTGGACCAAAAGATGTGGTATTGGGCTTGTATGACGCCTTATTGGGTTAATTAATAAAGGCCCATGATTATTTAATTATTTCAATGATCATTTTTGTATTAATTATAAATATATATAATTTTATATAAAAATAATTAATTAATAATTGTTATGGAAAGATATATATATTTATTGATATATATATGTATATATGATTTAATTAACTAATGGGTTAATTATGGAAGGAATATATATATTTATATATATATATATATATATATATATGTAATATAATATATGTTTATAGATATAAATTATTTAAAGGTTATTATTTTAATTCATAATACTAGTTAGAATAAGATTTGGAATTTAAGGTGTATAAAAATACACATAAGGCTTTAGGGTTAAAGGTTTTACACGTTAGAAAAATCAAACAGACAGAGAGAGAGGAAGAAGAAGGGCTGACAAGGAGGAGGTCGGATCTGAAAAGGAGGACGTCGGAATTGGAAGAAATAATTAAAGCTTAAAGCGTCGGTTTCGTTTTGAAACCTTCAGGCGAGTTTTCTCTAACTTTCCTCTTATAACTCATAAGGATTTCACCTTGAGTATCAAGACTTTAATTAAATTTATTTGTTTAAAAAATTATGGTTAGATCGGAATAATTAAAAAGTATAAACTATTATATTTGATTTTTAGATTATTGGATTTTAATTGATATATATAGGTGTTATATGTATATTTTAAAATCAATCTATAGGTGGATTTGTGACCCAAGACAGTTAATTATGGTTTTTTTATTTTCTAGAATTGTTCTGTAATTTTCTGGAATTTTTCTGATATTTTTAGGAATTTATTAGGATTTATTTTCCTATTATTTGTTAGGAAAATAATTATATATATATATATATATATATATATATATATATATATATATATACACACACTACGTAACTGGCGCGTGTAGAGCGGCGGCACAATAAGGAATTGATCCAGCGCGGCGCGGTGTAGGATAATAGTGTGTATACGCCAATTAGGGCCATTTGATTAATTAAACTTATGTGAATTGATATGGTGCATCGCGGCGCATAAAAGTTTGGTGCGCATGTGTATCTGGACCATAGAAGTGGTCTGGTCAACTATGGGATTATTTGGTGTATTGCAGACCATGAGAAGATGGTGCACTCGCTGATCTGAACCTTAGATCTATTATAGTTAATAGAAAATAATCCAGTGTGAGCGTGTTCATTTGCGCACTGATTTGTGACCATTGGATGCGGCATAAAGGAAGTGATGGATTCAGTGTGGTGAGCTCACGGTAGCTGAAAGAGCTTAGCCAATACCAGCACACAAGGAGGCTTGAATCCAGCGCGTGCAAGTGCATAGTAAGCACGTGGGCGCGCGTGGCAAACTATGTTGGCCTAATTCGACACTAGAAATTAAAACGGTCATAACTTAGTCATTTTAAATAGAAATTGGGTCATTCTTGAGCTCAAATTTAAGGATTTTTCATCTTCTTTCCAATGGTACCAATTTCATTATCAGATTCCCATCCTACTAAGAGATATTTATGTTTTAGTGAGACAGTGTCGGAAAACTATTTAAACCAATATGGAGTATTTAGAGGAAACTATTTCTGACATATTTAGTTGCACTAATTTGTGTAAATATAATAAATTAATAATTTGTTATGAAAGGAAGTGTATATATATATAATTATTTATATATGTGTATATATAGTTTAATTTGTCTATGAGTTGTATGGAATGATGAATATATATATATATATATATATATATATATACACATATGTATGTATGTATATTGATTTTAAATAATCAAGGATTATTAAGGAAGGTGTTAAACACATATATATATTAAATAATATATGTGTAGGTATATATATATATATATATATAAATCATTTAAGATGATTAATATTATCATTCTTATTTGGCAAATCTTAATAGGCTGGTTGTTAAATTAATGATATGCGTATAATATGCATGTGATGGCTATGTATGATTTAGCGCATTGTTAATTTTAAAGTTAATTCATGGTTAAGGTGTAGGCATGGATGAATTGTCAAATGATTAAATATATTACCTAAATATTTGTATGAATAGAATACATATATGGAAAGCATGGATAAATTGCTAATTAAATGTATGAATAAATATACTTGTGGAGGCATGGTTGAATTGTCAATGTATAAATATACATACACGGAGGCATAGTTGAATTGCCAATGTATAAATAAATATACTTGTGGAGGCATGGTTGAATTGCCAATATATAAATAAAAATATTTGTAATGGCATGGTTGATTTGCCAAAGCATAATTACGTTGTTATGTGTTAGATGATAAAAATATCATCTATGGTTGTTATATGTATGGATTGAATTAGGGTTAGATATTCTTAAATGAGAATAGTTTAGTACTTACTGGTTAGTGTATTATTTTATATTAATAAAATAATATTGGGGAAGACATTGATGATTTGTCAAAACTTGGATTTTGGATATGTGATTTAAACAATTAAAATCATTATCGGGTTGGGATTAAATAGAGTATTTCTTTTATTATAATTTATTGTTTAAATGATTAAACAACTGATTAGGATGGAATTCAGGTTAAAGGAGTTTATTTTTTTAAAAGAAATGGTGGATTGGTCTAGGTATGATTGTTATTTTAATCATTATTTAATAGGTTTGGAAATTTAATAAATCTATTAGTGGATGTGATTAATGTAGTATATATAATTATTTATATATATGTATATCATGCTATATTAAAGTTAAATTATTTATTAGGTTGGGTTTGATTAGAGATGATCTGCTTATTAGTTTTCAGAGGCCTGGTAGAGTGAACTTGCTCGTAGGGTTTAACCCACGATTTATTTTTCAGGTTATTAGAGGTTCCAGTCTCGAAGTTGAGGATCCGCAGCTGGGAGACTGTCATTCATCTATTCATCTTGTGTACTTTTAGATAGTATTAGATTATTGGATAATGTTTTAAGGGGTCCTTGAGTTATGGGATTTCCGAGTTATAATTGTTGAAAAATCATTAAGTAATATTTATTTATTAGTTTTCTTCAGCGGTTTATTTATTTTTTATTATTCATCTTTGTATTCCGTGCTTGTTAAATACTTTAATTGTTTTGATATCCCTTAATTTTGTGCGCGGACTTGATCAACCCGTGTTCCGAAATTAGGGGGTATCACAGTTGGTATCAGAGCACTCCAGGTTCAAGTGTCCCTAGGATGTCTTTCGTTGTGTGATTTCCGCGTTGTGTACTCTTTTAATTAGAGCTTAAGGTTAGGATTCATTGTATTCTATATTCAGTCCGTTAGTGCGTCCTAATGGTAAATCGTTGAGTCTTATCCGAAAATGGTAAGACACTGATTTGGAAGGTATTTGGGGAGGAAGGAGTATAGGCGCCAGAATCGTATGCTAAATTAGTATGTAGGGAGACAATATTTATTGTGGAAACTGATTAAATGACATAGACTACAAAGGTTGATAGTTTACGTTCACACAGTAAATACAAGTGCAAGATAGAGTAGAAAACTGAACTGTGGAAAGTTATTACTTCTACACTCAGTATTGTTCAGGGAGGATGAATGTAGTTGCAGAATTGGTTTTTAAGTTCTGTTTTAAGGATTGGGATGATTCAAGGTTATTTAGATCAGAGTAGCTGATTTAAATGGTTGAAATAGATTGGTTAAAATCTCAGAATGCATAATATTCATTAATATGCTAAGGACTTGAACCATATGGAATTTCAATTAACTTACATGTTGTGAATGAAGGATTTAGTTGCTTAATATTATTCAAGCAATTTCAATTTATATTTATGTGATTTTAATCATGTATTGGCATATAATATAATCATGTATTCATCGGATTTATATTATGCTTACTTCTGGTTTATTTGATGTATAATTATATATGTTATATGAATTGTGAGTTTTATAGATCTATGCACCATTAATATAA